TAAGAAAATTTTTTTTTTTTTTTTTTTTTTTTTTTTACATGTACACTACCAGTCTTTTTTTAAAATCTTACTTTTGCATATGGTAGTGTATCACAGTTTCCACAAAAATAGGCTATTAGGTAGCAAAAATGATAATTGATGATAATTAGAAATGTTTCTTGAGCACCAAATCAGCATCAGGATCGTGAGGCACTGGAGACCACAGTAATGGCTGCTGAAAATTCAGCTTTTTATTCTATAACATGAATAAATAACGTTTTGAAGTATATTAAAATAGAAAATAGTTATTTTAACTGTTGATCTGTGATCTTAACTATTGCACAATATTACTGATTTTACAGTATTGTTGATCAAATAAATGTAGTCTTTGTGAGAATAAGAGACTTCTTTCAAAAACATTAAAAAAATAGAAATAATAATCATTCAAACTTTCGACCAATAATTCAATAGTTAGGAAAAAACTTAAATTTCAGTATACTTGTCTGTAGTGCATTGCACCTCATTTTTATTCAGCGGTTAAAGGATGTAAAAGTATTAAGTGTATTACTTCCTGTCTGCAGTAGGTTAAGTGAAATCAATAATCCAGGGTTGGATTTGGTCCCACTACTCTCTTACAGTGAATCTGATCTTTGTGTGAGACAGGGCTGTTAAAGCGCTGTGACTGAGCTGCTGTTGCTGAGTGTGTATGTCTGTTGTGTCATTCTCAATCTCCCTGAAGTCCAAGTGTAATATCTGTGCCAGTGCCCTGTGAAGTATCTCGCCAAGGTCTCGGCCTTTGAAAACAGAAGAGTTCATTCAATATTCAATGAAAAGTCTCAGGCAGGCAAATTGCCAGAGAATTCATTCTTTATTCAAGGAAACACCCACAGTCTGAATGCAAAGAGGAAAGAAGTTAAAGCAGAAAGAACTCATGTTTGTCTGTTGGTCTCAGATCTCATAGAGCAGGTAACCAGAGAAGATACTGAAGCGGCTTTGTGAGTCCCTCTTGCTTAGTTCACTGTTGTTCAGCCGAACATGTAGCCGGTCTCCAGCTTTAAGCTGCAGCACTACATTATTGCTTGCGGTGTCTGTATGAAGAACATCCACTGCCACCGCACTCGCCACAACCTAGAACACACAACAGTGGAAATGAGCAGATTTATCAGACTTAATATGCTGCAAAAGATGTGAGTCCTTAATATTTTATTGTGTAGCAGCTGTTTTATTAAAGCAACAAAGCAGGAGTTTTCAGGACGCTGTTTTTCCCCCCACTTTTTTTCAAAAATTTGAATTTAATCTTATTTATTTATAAAATCTACGAAATTGTAAGGCTTACAAATTTAACATATTAATTTAAAATTGAATTAAATATATTCAATCAATAAACAATTTCTGACCCTGGACCACAAAACCAGTCATAAGGGTCAATAAAAAAAAAAAAAAAATTTAAAAACTGAGATTTATACATAATTTGAAAGCTGAATAAATAAACTTTCAATTGATGGATGTATTGTTAGGATAGGACAATATTTTGCTGAGATACAACTATTTGAAAATCTGGAATCTGAAGCTGCAAAAAAAAAAAGAAAAAAATCAAAATATTGAGAAAATCGCCTTTTAAGTTGTCCAAATCAAGTTCTTGGCAATGCATATTACTAATAAAAAATTAAGCTTTGATATATTTACGGTTGGAACATGATCTTTACTATCCTAATGATTTTTGGCATAAAAGAAGGCTGTATTTTGCCAGTGAAGAGCACATTTTGTATTTACACTTTCATTCACGTTCAAAGGTTTGGGGTCAGTAAGGTTTTAATTATTTTTATTTTTTTTTGTAATTTAGCAAGGACACAATAAAGTGATTAAAAGTCACAGTAAAGACATTTATATTGTTACAAATAATTTTTCTTGCAAATAAATGCTGTTCTTTAGAACTTCCTATTTATGGAAAATGTTTCCACAAAAACAGTAAGCAGTTTTCAACATTGAAAACAATAAGATTATGAAGTTTATTGAGCACCTAATAATGATTTCTGAAAGATCATGTGACACTGAGGACTGGATTAAGAAAATGAATTTTTAAATATATTAAAACAGAAAACAGCTATTTTAAATTGTAATAATAGTTCACAATATTATTCCTTTTACTGTATTAAAAGAGGCATAAGTGAAGCATAAGAGACTTCTTTCAAAAACTAAGATTTAAAAAATCTTACTGACTCCAAACTTTTGAACAGTAGTGTGAATTACTGTAACAAAAATATATGGGTCAAAGAGACGTCCCATTTTTGTGTCTGCATCAAATTACATTTGCAAAAGTGATTTTATATACATAGAAAAAAATCAATAATTTTGACCCATACAATGTATTGTTGGCTATTGCTACAAATATACCCGTGCCACTTAAGACATTAATTTTAATGTTTCCTTTTTTTTTTTTATTCTGGTCAGAAATCAAGGGATTAATTGCAATTATACTATTCCCAGCTTTGCTTTTTAACAGCAATAAATACATTTGCATACGCTTTTTAAAAAATAAATAAATAACTTTATATATATATATACTGT